TTTTTTTTTTTGTTTGAAAATCTTAAAAAAATTGAGAAATAATTGGAAAATTTATTGATATATTTAATCTTTGCCAGTTTATAACTTATTGAAATTATTAAAATTGGGTTATTAATTATTCATTATAAATAATCAAATTCAAAATCTATTTCTTGAGATTACGAGTTGAATTTTCCTTGCATTAAAATTTTATTTTTGGTGAATTTTTAATTTGGTATTTTTTCTTGTATTTTTTTATTCAATATAAAGTAAAAAATCATTTCAATATGTCCCTATGAAACAAAAAACACTAAAAATGGAAAACTGATCAAATACCTTCCATTAAAAAAATTAAAAAAAACTAAATGAAAAAATAAGAATAAATAAAGTTATCATTTAACTTTTTCTTGAATACATTTTTTGCCAAAATGATTGAATTCAAAGTTTAAATTATGTATATTTTTATATAAATTATCTTATTTTAACTCATTTACTAAAACAAATTCTAAATTATGGGAATTTTATTTTCACAAAAGGGATTAATTTGGTCTTCTAGTGTTTTTTTTTTATTTATAAATGGTAAAATTAAAAAAATGTTTAAACTAATAAGATAAAATCTCTGGAAAAATATTCTAATTTAATATATTGACTTATTCTTTGATTTCAAAATTATCTCTACTCCAATTTTTTAAAAAAAAAATAAAAAAGTACACAGTAAATACAAAAATATTTTCGATATTCAAAAGTTGATAGTGTTTTTATTCTAAAAAAATTTATCCCAGTGGTAAATTGAATTTCTTTATAAGCTAGATTTCGAAAAATATTAATCAGAAAAAAATGGTGCTTCTTTATTAAATACATATATTCTTTGTATCAAAAAATTATATTTTTTTCAATTTTAAAATTATTATTGTAATTTTTTTTGAAATTAAGTAGATTTTCTATACTTTGTTATTTTGGAAACTTGGTGGTTTTATTTTTAAAAGTTTATTTTAGTACACTTCCTTCATAGATATTAAGATTACAATCTTCTTTCAAAGAAAATAATTTTTTTTTTTAAATAATTCAGAAATATGTTGAATTTTGAAATTTTTGAAAATGAGAAAAATCGATCAAACTTTTTAAAAACAAAAATTCCTTTCTGAAAAGAGCCTAAAAAGTCATTATGGTAATTTTGTAACCAGCTTTCACCTTATTTTTAAATTTTAAGATGTGATTCTTTTTTTTTGAATTTGTTATTAAATTTTACTTGAAGATTATTTTTTACACAAATTATTGTGTTATAATTCGAATCTTGTATTATAATTTTGGATAATTTTTAAGCCTTAAATTGAGTTCTAAATTTATATATTAAAATTAGAACTTGTTTTAATCAATAATATTTGAGAATGAATAGATATTATGATACTATATCAAATCTTGATAATTAGGAAAATTATCCTAAAATAGTAGAAATTATACAAATATAATGATCAAAAATTAATCTATATAATGAAATTATAATTTTAAGGCAAGATAAATAGTATATTTAAAAACAAAAATCTTTTAATTTTGTTAATAAAAAAAATTATATATATATATATATATATATATATCACAGGTATGACGATTTTGTTGATGTCATGAAACGCGTTGGCACACGCGTGAGCGACGCGTAAAATTCGTTTCCCTGGAATATATAGCATATATATATATTATATTATATATCAGTAGAAAATTTTTTAAACAGGAATTCTAAAAAAAAAAAAAAAAACAGTGAAATTCATGCGCAATGACTGCATATACTAAAGATTGTTTTTATTTTTCTTAGTATATATTAAAATTACTCTTTATTGAAAGAAAAAATCAATAAAAGTAATATTAATATATATTAAAATAATAGAAATTATAATGTATTGTACACATTTATTTTATTTTGTTACGATAAAAAAATAAATCTTAAAAAATTGTATTAAACTTTATTTTGATAAAATGAAATACCTTTTTAAAAAAAGTTAATACTTGATCACAAAAAAAATAAAACAGTAAAAAAATATCTATTAATATAATTGATTAAAAATCAAATGTATAAGATACTTAAATTTAAACCTTCTGTACTGGTGAAAGGCAATTACTAGTTAAGCTTTGTTGATTCGCCCATTTCTCCTTGTTATTTAAAAATGAATAAGCATTATAATAAAATGAGGGAATGTAATAAAGAAATATTATTATTATTATTATTAAAAAATAATAAGTTGAAGGGTTTTCACTTATGTTTGTACGTGCATTTAATTTGTTTCCATCAGTTAAACCAAGATTTTTTTAAAAAATAGCGAAAGTAGTTATTTTGGACAAACAAAACAACAAAAGAACAGTTTGAAAATAATTTTTTAAAAAGTTAAATAATAAAAAATGAAATTATAATTGAAGATGAACTAATAAAGGGGTATTAAGCATATAACGGTTAAGAAATCAGAAAGTTGTTGTTAAATTGAGTATCAAAATTAGGTTTAAAGTTGAGTATATCGTATGAAAAATATAATAAAATAATTTTCTTGCTTATAAGTTGAAGGAAAAATTTAAATGAAGAAAAAAAATTACTGATCACATTTTCCCAGTCAGTAATTATGAAAAAAAAAATTTTTACAAGCTAATAATTTGAAATATTTTTATTGTGATCAAATAAAAAATAGTATAGATGACGTGTAATCACAATGTAAAAAAATTATGTCAGCCGATCTAATATGGAAGAGGTAAAAAAGTGAAATTTTGATCTTAGTTTTTTCCTCAAATTTAATTTTTTTTTTCAAAAAATAAAATCTTTTACTCGGTGATAAAAGTATTTAAAATTTTCATGAGTTTTAAATAAAAATCTCACTTTATGCTGTTTTGAGGTTTTAAATTTAGAAAATAAAACTATTTTCACCATTTTAACACCAAACCCCGCCACTTAAATGGGAAATCGCAAATTACCCTTTACTTTAACCCTTTTAAGGAAATTGTTTCCTACCTATGTCTAAATTACCTTTTTTTTTTTTTGGCCGTATTCATTGTTTTCAAGTTTTTTCGTTTGCGTATTTTCGCATCCCAGAAACGAGAAGTCTGATTTCAATAGAATTCAAGGACTTTTTAAAAAAACAAAAAACGAAAACAACGAATGAAACGAAAAAATATATAAAAAAATCGAAAAAACGCGATTTTTTAAATCTTTTATTGTTTTGAAACGAAAAAATGTAATACCTGTGATATATATATATATATATATATATATATATATATATATGAAGTTGTCTAAATTATCCCCTAGTCACATTTGGACAAAAATCTATTTTCAAGTATTTGCAATTTAAATCCTAGATTCCAATATTTATCAATGAAAATAATTCCATAGGATTTTACTTTAAAATTAATCAATTTAAGTTTTATTCTTTTAATTTGTTTTAAAATATTAATAAATAATTTATATAGAAAAAAAAAAAAAACAATTGAGAAAAAATATTCATTATTTTCGATTATTTCATTATCTTCATATTTTAAACATAAAAAAACAAAATTTATTTGAATTATTATATTCTATAATAATTTCTATTTAATCAATTATCAAAAGCTTTGAGTTTTTAGAATTATTGAACTTGATAGATAACTTGAATATCTTGTGGTTGAAAATATTGAATTTTGATTTTTTATGAAATTAAGATAGTCTTGTACCTTCCAACAGGTAGAATTTAGAAACTCATTGTATTATATTTATAAATTTCTTCTTGGAGTATCTTTAGGTTTTTTGAATTCAAATTAATTTTATTGTTGATTTTTTGATTAAATTTTATTAATTTTTCATAATTTGGCAGACTTAATTCTTTTAATTTGTTTTTGAATATAAATTTCTTTTTATTAACTGGAAATACAAATTTTTTGATATTTTAGAGTATTTTGAAATAATTTTGTAGTGTGTCATTTTTTATTTTTAGATTTCATTTGATTGCCTGACTTTTTCCTAAATAATAAGCCAAATTTCAAAATTAGTACTAACTTTATTATTATTATTTTATTCTTTTTTTCATTTCTCTTTCAAAAATTAATATGATTACACCATAGTTTTATTTATTAATCTATAGTGGTTATTTTATCTTAACAGTTTAGTAAAATACATTATATTTCAAAAAAAAAAAAAAATTAAACAAATTTTTTTCTGATGAAAAATCTGCCCCGATTTTTGAAATTTAGCTTAGGTGAAGAAAAGTTGAATCTGTGTTTCAAAAAAAAACTTTATTATTTTGTTATAGAATACCTATACTTGAGTTATCAAATAAACAGCCAAAAAAAAGATAGTTAAATATGGTAAAGATTCCCAATAGTTCTATTATTAAAAAAGAAATTCTAAAATCAAGGAACAAATAGGAAAATTTATCTCAAAATTAAATAGAGAAATTTTTAAGAAATTTCTTATTAAAAAAATTGAGAAAAATACAAAAACTTTTGAACAAATGTAATTCCTAATTTATAATTTACTTATAATATCAAGAAGTTTGCTTTCAAAATTGATTTGAACTTTATTAAACTATTGGGCATTAAATTTGATATTCCATTATAACAAGAAAAAAAAAGGACGGATTTTATTATGAAAAATCAGATTATAGTTCGTGGGCACATATTATTTTGATCATCCTAAATTGTTACCAAAAAAAAAATAATATTGCAAAAAGGTCTCAGCACACCATTTTCAAGTATTATAACATTTAGAATAAAACTAAGGTAATACTTGAAAATATAAAAGCTTTAGTTCAGTAATTCTGTGTAAAAAAGATGGTTTTTAAAATTGGATTTAATTAGTAATAAATATTCCAAAATTTTTCATCACAGTTAATTGATTTGAAACAGAACGAAAGAATTATTTATTTTTCAATATAACCTTTTTTTCATTCTCCAAGATAAATTATTTGCTGAACAGAGTATCTAAGGTTTGAGTTTACAAATTAGATCATTTTATTAACCTTTAAGGATGTGAGCAAACTAAAGACCGCATACACTTCTTTTTCTAACAAGCTTCGTTAGCTCAGTGGTAGAGTATTGCTGCTTAAAAACAAGCCCAAAGGTCGCGGGTTCGAATCCTGTGCGAAGCGAAGTGCCCTTGTTTTTTTATATAAAAAAACAAACAAAAAAATTTTCTTTTTGATGAATGTTTAAAACTTTAATATTTTGACTGAAATTTCCTCTTTTCTTATTCTTTTAAAAAAACAATTTTGAATAAAAGATCAAAAACAAACAACATATTTCATAAAAAAATTTAAATTTTCTTAAAATTATGAGGGGAGTTTACTTTCAACTTTTGATTTGAAATTTGATAAACTATATATATAGGGTCGTGAATTTGCTTTTCCAAAGTTATAAAATCTAGAAAAAGTAAGGATTTAATTTTTAAAACATGAGTTTAGTTGTAAACAACAACTATACTAATTATTCTTCTGAAAAGTCTTTTTTGACAGTCTATTACTGTCAATGGAACAATAAAATGAAATTTATCATTCAGCACTTCCCAAAAAAACAATCCCCAAGAATTAAAGTAAATTATTAAAGTTCTCAATTCTAAAAACGGAAATGAATAATTTAAGCTTGTTTTTCAAATATTAAAAATTTGAAATTTTACATCGACTTAAAAATCTTTGATTAAATAAAGCTGAATGATAATTTTGTACCATTTATTTTGTAACACTTATTACAAATCCAAAAAATGAGGAAACAATTCGATTATTGTTGGACTTTTTTTCTGGATTTAAAGTGTGTAAAAACATTTTTTCCAAATTTTCTTTTTCTTGAAATGAATAAACTCTTAATAGTCTTTATCACACTTACAATCGTAGTCAGTGTGAGTGCAAGTATGCCACTACCATTTAAAAGAGAATTGTATTACACTTCAAGCAACCCCCTTGAAGGAAGTGATGTTTATATTGCACAAAGCTTCTTATTGCGATCCAAATATGTCCCAAGCTTTGCATCAACTAAGGTCTATGACCTTGCAACAAAGAAGGCCGTTGAGCAATTCCAATCAGGAAACTCTCTTAGCGTTGACGGCATCATTGGCCCCGCCACAGCAAATCTTTTGATCAAGCTTCATCTGAACGATGGCTATAAGGACGACGGCAGATTCCCAGAGGGATATCTGTACAAGATACACATTTCGGTTCACTCAAACCGATCGATCCCAGGTACTGCATACTTGATTGCGCCCAATAACACAAGGATCTTCAAGTTCCCTGCCCTAACCCAAGGACAAGGCCCAAATGGGGGCTATAATTCATTTTCGGATAGTGGCAACACGCCCACAGGATTGTACGAGATCGATTTAAATTCTCCAGAAAATGATCCTGACGATTTTGGCCCTTACCCAGTTAATAGAATCACAAGGGGCCTTGCTGGCAATGGTGCGATTGTTACCCCTGACACATCCAAAAGTGATAATATCAGAGCAGGTTTGTTGGTCCATTGCGGACAAAGCGCTGAATGGCAAAAAGGCGTGATCCCTCCTTCTCATGGATGCATCCACTCTTGGTGCTCAAATATTCAAAAAATTTGGAAGATGCTTACACTTGATCTTGGTGTAAAGGTTAACAAAAATTATTTTGGTACTATTGTTCCATACCCATTTAAGCCACAGGGTGTTTTAAGTTTGGAACTTCTCGATGATTAAATTTGACAAATTTTTTTCAATTTCTTTTTCTTTTCTTTTTTTTTTTTTTTATTTCCTTTTTTCTTGAATCAAATTTTAACTTTCTCTCTAAAAATTCTCAAAGTAAGAGCGAAATTAAATAAAATAAAAGTTATTGTTTTTGAATCAGTTTGTAAAAGATCTTGGGTTTTGGAAACCAATTTTGTGATAAACAATTTTTAGGAAATCAAAATTACATGCTTTGCTTTTGTAAATTTCGAAAATGACAGCAATACTCGACAAAGATTTAACAAATCTTGAGAGAAATATTGAGATTATTATTAAATTTCAAAATTGGATTTTTTCAAATTGAATTTTTTCGTATTTTTGAAGAGTTTCTCGATTATTGTCATTATTGGTATGAAAGTTTTGAATGGTTTTTAAGAGTTGTGGGAGGAAAAATCAAAAAGACAAGTTTGTGATTAAAAGTATTTTATTACCTAAATTGAGAAAATCCAAAATTTTGAAATAATCAATACTAAAAATTTTTACGATAAAAGTTCAATTTTAACCTATAAAATCAAGTGGATAATTTTTTTATCACTTAAAAAAGTTATACAAGTCTAATTGGTCTCTTAATTATTTTTTATTCAAAATCCTGGCCAAAAATTCCTAAAATACCATCCAAACCTTTAGAAACTATCCAAATAATCCCTAAAATATCTTTACATATCTGAAAACATATTTCTAAAAATAATAAAATTAATAAATATCAATAGAATTGATTATTTTGAAAAATTTAAGAATTTGACCAGTTTTTTGCATTTTAAAACAAATGTCCTGAATACTAAAAATGGAATCACCTAATAAAATCGATTTGATAACACAGAAGTAAATAATTTAATTTCAGTAAAGTTTTATAGGATATTTTATCCACTAATTAAAGAAAAATTATTTTTCTAAAAAAATGTGTTTATTTGTGTTTTTTTTTATCTATTATAAAATCCCGCTTAACAGGTACCAAAAAATTACCTAACAAGATAATAATTTTATTAGTATTGAATTTATTCAAGTCATTAATTAATTAACAAAGTTTAATAACCATTAATTATATCATAAAATAATAGCACCCTTAATTAAAAATCTTGTTTACTGGATATTTACAAAATAACCAAAAACAAAATAGATATTTTCAGAAAAAATACCACATATTCTGAAAAAAAATATTTTAAGCTGTTAATAATGGTACCTAAAAACTTTAATTAATTACAATAAATCAATTTTTTATACTATATTTAAAATTCTTTTGTTTCTCATTATAGACTAAAAAAATTTATCATTTTTAATTATTTTTTGAATGGTAATGGGTTTTTCAGAAAATTTATAATTTAATTTTAGATGAGTATTTGTTTTTGTTGGTTTTGGCAAATAAGTAAAATACATTTTGATTGGTGTGATTATAAAAAAATTGAATTTACTTTAACTTGAAAACTATATTGTAAATTATAAAATTTTCTACAAAATCACAAAAAAAATGGTTTTATTTCTGAAATGTTTTAGAAAAACATAAGAATATTTGATGATAATAGGGGAAAAACTCTTGAAATAATTCTTTTCTTTCAAGGTACAAAAAAATTTTCCAAATATCAATTATTTTTATTATCGACTTTTTAGAGACAAACAATAAATAAGTAGAATAATAGAGATCCGGAAATAATCGTTACCCAATTGGAATAAAACTAATAAATCAATATATTTTTCTACAAAAAAAGTAAAACTCACATTCCTAATAACCCATCAAGAAAAACAAAAAGGTTACTTTTGATATTCAATTCAAGATCAGAGAAAATCTCAATAGAAATCAATTAGAATTTTCTACAATCATTCTCGCTATTTCAATAACCTTAAAATAACACGCTTTTACAAAGTTATTACAAGTTTTATCATAAGAAAAATAATCCCAAATCAAAAAAAAAATCTGAAAAAAAAAAATTAAACAAAAATGATATCAATTATGAAATTTCCAAAATAAATTATTATCATCTAAATATCTTTCTAACCCTTTAAATATATGTAATTAACTTACCACAACTGGCCCCTTTTCTTTAAAAATGGTTAAATTTAAATCTTTATTTATAAATTGTTATTCTTACAGGATCAATTTTTGCTTCTATTTTATAAAAAAACTTTTCATAAATGAATTAATTAGCAAAAAATTTGTAATTTTTTTTTATTAATCCAAAGATCAATATCTTTAAAATCTATTTTTGTTAAATCAAATATTTCGCAATTGATATAATAGTAAGCTATGTAATTCAGCTTTAAAAAAAAATGGAATTTTAAATCCTTACTTAATCAATTTTAGCTACAGTTTTCTAAACAAGCCTTAAAGAATGTGGATTGATTAATAAAAAATTTTTCAATTTTTTTATTGATCTGGATATCTACTGTCTTTAAAATCTGTTTTTGTCAAATCAAATATATCTAATCCGTATAATAATCAGTTTGTTAAAAAAATCTTTAAAGAATTGAATTTTTCATCCATTGTTTCAATTTTTTTTGCTAAAAGATACTGATTAGTTTTTTGAAATTGGTATTAACTTTATCAAGTTTATACATTAAATGGGTTTGATTATCTAACCAAATACCAAGATATAAAATTTATTATCGAAAAAGCAAGGACATTTTCTCCCAAAGAAATAATAAAAGTAAAAAAAATCTGTTTTCCTCAATTTTTCGACATTAAATCCCCAATTACAATCTACAAAAAAAGAAAAAAAAAATTAAGAAAAAAATAATTTTATTAATAATTCAATTAAAACTCTTCTTAAATTAGCCTTATAACATGACTTTTTCTAAAATTTCCTTTGATAGTGTTTCAATAATTGATTGTTCTAAGCGAATTGGGTCAGTGCATCTGGAAGACGTGCTTATTATAATTTCATCTGAAAGAATATTTAAAATGGTTCTATCAATATATTTTGATAGAGCCATTCTCAAGAAAAAGGAATCGATTTGGATTTGGTTAAAGCCTTCTGTACTGAAAGTTCTAAGTCTTATGGATTCTAAGAAGGTTTTTAAAACAATTTTCCCGATACCTGTCATGATGGAATCGCGGTCGTGGTTCACATTTTCAAAAATGATGATTTTTTCTGCAAACAATTTTTCGATATTGGACTCAATTAACCTGTATTTGTCTCCCTTTTGTTCAGATCCCTTTAGGGGTTCCCTTAGGGAATATGATAATGTGGAGCCTCTTGATAGAGAGCTCCAACTTCTGTTCACACTTCCATTTTCAGAATTATTATTAATCATAACATCATCGTCGTCTTGGTCGTCATCGTCGTCATCGTCGTTGTTATTGTGATTATTCTTATTGCTATTCTTGTTTTTAGATGACGAGCTATAATGTCTAAAATTGGGCGACACAATCTCATAAGCGACTTTGAATTCGTTGAACACGTATTGAATCGCGGT